ATGACAACGGTTAACTTAATCACCATAGTCACCTTAGCTATACGACTGGTTTAATATATTTTGCAGAACCAACGTTGTATCAAGGATGATTTCTCAAAGAGATCGTAAAACTGCTCAAAGTACAAAGCCATTAAAAAGTGATGTTGGAATCACACCGTCTAGGTCACCATCAGGCGAGTAGGACGAACAAGTCCAACTCACCCAATGGCGAGTTAAATTGACATTTCCTTAATCACCATCGGGCCAGTAAGACAACAACTACAACTGGCCTGATGGGGAGTTGGACTGACATTGTGTAATTCGCCAACGAGCGAGTAGGACCAACAAGTCCAACCCGCCCAATGGCGAATTGGACTGATATTCTTAACTCAGCATTGGGCGAGTAGAACAAGAATTCCAACTCATATTATGTGAGTAGGACCAACAATTCAAACTCTCCCGATGGTGAGTTTGACTGACATTACCCAACTCGTCATTGGGCGAGTTGGATCAAGCGATTTACACTTGTCCCATCTTTGTAGCTTCCTCCTTCGCGCCTCGACTAAACTGTCTCATGTTTCTTCTCAGTCAGAGTTACTGTTAGAAATATACAATAAAAGTCGCAACACTTTTTTCTCGTATATGCTTGAATTGATCCTATAAAATTGCAATGCTTAACTTAATCACCATAGTCACCTTAGCTATATGATTGGTTTAATATATTTTTAAGACCCAGCGTTGTATCAAGGATGATTTCTCAAAAAGATGGTAAAAATGCATAAGTCGCAAAATGACCCAAAATTTCTATGACCCGGCTAGAAGCCCAGTTACGATTTTTGAATTCTTACGGAGAGACGAAGTTGCAAAAAAACTTGTACAAAGTAGAAACCCATTAAAAAACAAGACATCATACGGGTCAAACTTCAAAATCGGAACACGAATAAAGTGATGTTGGAATCACACCGTCCAGCTCACTATCAGGCGAGTAGGACCAAAAAGTCAAACTCCCCCAATGGCGAGTTAGATTGACATTGCCCAACTCGCCATCAGGCCACTAGGACAACAAGTCAAACTAACCTGATGGGGAGTTGGAATTAGATTGTCTAACTCGCCAACTGGAAAGTA